TGCTCCTCCATGATAGAAAGCTTGGCGAGCCGCCGAGTCGAACGGTAACGGGACCCAGCCCCGACTGTCTGTCTGGCTAATACTAGCACAGGAGGAGCAGTGCAGAAAAAAAAAAAAAAAACAAGAGCACAAATCAGTGCTGTCTTTGTTTGAAGCGCATTGTCACTGTCTGTGAGGCGTTCAGCTCCTTGCGCCTTTTTCCCGCCACAGACATCGACAAGACGTTCAAATCAGGAATACTTTTATCATTCTCGACTACTTTCCTGAGCCTCTTCATGAGGCTGGCGGAGGAAACTTCAGCTGAGATCATCGATTGGAAAAAGCTCTCTCCTTATGGTATTCAAATCTTGGGGACTGCGGAGGGAAATGTAGTTCTGTATTCGACGCTACTGTATCCAAAACTATCTAGTACGCCGCCATGTTTACTTTAACTACCAGAATGCTTAGCGCGACTATGACAGGGGGCTGCAGACGCAGGGAAAAAGCTGTTTCAATGCTGCCATCTACAGGTTGCATAATGAAACTACAACATCCTATCAGCTTGTGAATCCAGGGTTGTGTCAACAAGGATAAAAATTACACTAAAAGACACGTACATATATATTACTGCTGTATTTATGTATGTAGTTATACATTCCTCAGACAAATCAACCAAATATTCTTATTTATATCATTATTATTTTGTGTGTATGGAGGTCCATTTCAGGTCCATTTTAGGTCTCTTAAATGAGTGGCTCAATGGGATTAACCAGTATAAATAAAAATTGAATGAAAAATTTCCACCACATTGATCCAAAATAACCTTTGCATCACAATTATAAAATACTTGCACAAAATACTAACTTAGCATTAAATACCTTTGAGATACTCATAATTATTTCAAAACATTGCATATTTATGACACTACCTCAAAATTATGTTCCTTCTAAAGAAATTAAATATTTCATAAATTTGAAACATTATCTCAATGTTATAAATTACCGTAGCATCTCAACATTATGAGATATACTACCACAAAATTCTATTTGCAATAGTAATTTTGAGATCGAATTTCATAAGTATGAGGCTAAGTGACACTTAAGAGATGATAAATTATAATTTTGAGGTAGCATTTTTTATGAGATAGCTATGACAGTATTTGATAAGTATGAGATGCTATTTTGTTTCTTTTAGATATAATTTTATGACAGTATCTCATAATTATGCAATGTCATGTCATGATTATGAGTAAGTATTTCATACATATGAGAAGTCATAGTTTTGAAAGGACTTTTTTTAATCAAATGTCATAATAGTATTTTATATTTGTGATGTAGAAGAGCTTTTGTTTTGTTTTTTCAGAGTGGCAGAAATGGGCATTCATACAGTATTGAATATTTTAGTTGATATCTACAAGTAAATGTTTCTAATGTAACTCTTGTTGCATCAGTAGTGAGAAATAGTTCATGTATGCTTTCACTGTGCTCAGGTCTATTAATGTGAAAGTGTTCATATGAATTCAAAATTATATTGTGCTTTTAAAAAAAGGTCTACTCTCCTTTTGAAGAGCACTTTATTCAGACATTCAGACTTTAATTCCCAGGTGAAAATATCAATATATTTAGTAAAGAGGCTATTTAAGGTTTTCAAAGTGTGCAACAGACTTTTTGGAAACGACTCAAAGCTGGAGTCAGTAAAAGGGGAAAGCAGGGAATCTGATTGCAAATGACTGAAGAGCTCTGACTGACTGAATCAAGGCAAAACAAATCACACTATTTCACGTCTCTGAATTGAGATTGTAAATATCTAGCTATGGTTTTTGAGCAGTAAAATAATATAACTGTGAGACAATCAAACACGGAAGTTAATGTGAAAGCAAAACAATCTTATCTGGGACTTTTCTTGTGCCACGACACTTGGCAGAGTGCTTCGAGCAGCTTCGAGGAAGCTGTCGGCTGTAAATGTTGATTACATTGTTGCTGCTGCACCTGCCTGGAGAATCCGCCCGGCTGGAGCTGAACTCAAATGGTTTGTACATCTCGTTTTTCTACGAGGCTTCATTACACTCTCCACTGATGTCAGGTTTTATAATATTCATTCTTAGACCTCTCTGGTTGCGTTTCTCTTTCTCTTTACATTTTTTTCCCTTTTTTTTTAAACAATAAAACTGTGTTTTCTATTTTTTTTTTTTTTTTTTAGGGAAATGCAAGAAATCATGTTTATAACTTCTTCCAGCACTGTATGTAACTTTTGTGAATTGTCTGGTGGTGGCACAGTTTCCTCAGTTTTTCTTTTACGTTTTAAGATATTATGTGAACTGATTTGTTTTTTTTTTCCCTGGACATATCCAGACAAATATTACCATTTTTATTCCGTCTGCTTTGGTCTGGGTTGGGGCATGGCGCTCTACAGGCCATTTTACTGTAAGTGTATTCTGCACACGGTTCGATAAAACAAATAATATTCATTACAACTTATTCCATTTGTCTGTTTGTTAAGATGAAATGTTTAACTGTAGAAAAGTGTGTTTTCTTTTTCAGCGCTCACAGTTCCTTTAGTCCTTGGTGTGTTTTTTACTGCAGCATTTGAGATTTTGGGTGCAACTTTAGGCAAGATTACCTTTTTTAACTTTAAATACTGCTGTCTTGACTCCTTTTAGATGTTTGAGACTGATAGTTCTTATGTCTTGTTTCAGAGCTGCCAGCCCACACTAAAAGATATAAAGGTCCCCCCTATGACAAGAGAGGTACAGACCCCTGCTGTGTGTAGTTTATGCTAAGACTATCTTGAAAATAACTTAATAATTTTAATTGGTGCATAAATCATCTGTATGATTAACAACATTGTATGATTATACCTTAAACCAGGGGTGCCCAAACTTCTTCCCCGATAGGGCCAAATTTAAAATCTACCAGAGGACTCGGGCCAAATGCAATAATACAAGGCATGAAATGCAAAAACATATTTAAGTAAAGTCCATTTATTTATTATAGTTATTTAACCTTCCATTCTGTATAAAGAACATTACAGAACTCAAAATATAACAACTACGTAAGTCGTATATAAGAAATTAAAACAAATGTTGCAATTCTGGCATTTCAGTATAATTATATGTAGTGCAAAATGTGAAAAAAAAAGCATGTCCAACAGCAACACAACTTAATAGCAACAATAATATTAACATAAATAAGCATTCCCGTATATACGATAGTCAATGGGCCGACTTTTCCATCTAACATTAAAGTCAATGGAATGAATGAGTGAAAACGCATTGATTCTTCAAAGGAAATTTTAATATACATGAGGAATGCCTGGGGGCCCCACTTTGGGCACCTCTGCCTTAAACAAAGTAATAAAAGTATTTTTGTTGGTATAAAATCTGTATCATTACCCTCCACCTCTCTTCAGATGCATACTGGGGACTTTGTTTTGCACTTTTTGTTGCCATCTTGCACCAGATCATATCACGGTGAGTACCACAAACCCGCAGCACATACAAAATATCTAAATGTGTTTCCCGTGTTTAAAAAAAAACTGTGCTTTCTTTCAGTCTACACTCTGTCCTATGGATGTGGAATTATAATATTTGCACTGAGAGGCGCTAAACGAAAATACAGCTGTCTGAGGTAAGTATCTGAAAAGCTGCTTTTGCTGATGATTCCTTTGGATTGAAAGTAATTAAAGCTTTGTCATGGTTGAGATTTGAGATGATATGTTATAATAAAGTCAAATGGTAAGGCCTAAAAAGCTTGTCTGTCTTTCCTGAACAGGAAGCTGAGACCGAAACGGAGCGCCTGGGGCTAGAATGAGTTTACAGCCCGGACTGTGGAGGCAATAAATTTAGGTTTAGTCTTGAAGGCCAAAGAGCAAAGTTGTGTTTAGTAAGATTAAGTAGAGATGTCAGGAAGTCTTCCATGTCTTCATAAAAATAAGGCTATTTTTTAAACTTTATTATTAATATTGCTGTTATTGCTGTCCTCATGACCTGGAATGGAAAAAGCGAGTAAAGAAAATGAATAGATGGATGGGTGTTGTTGTTATATGGTCTTTTTCTAGTTGAATAATGTATTTATAAGTTCAGGGATGTGTAAAATAGGAATAAAAAATGTATGACACAAACAATGATATGTGTTTAACTGCATTTAAAATATTTATTGCATTATAATCTGCTAATAACGATTTCATGAGAGGTATGTTAAAACCCAAAATTCAGTGTATGGTACCTAAAAGGGTAGTTCATATCTTTTGAAAAGGGGTTTTGTGGAATGGTTTTGAGCAAATAATATCTTACCTGTTGTAGATAGCTTATTGAACGGCCTTAGTTTGGAGAGGTGGAGTTTAATTCTGACCAGATTGATGAGCTAATGGCAAGCTCAAGCTGAGTCAAGTTCAAAGTAGACTGCTACCATCTTTAAAAGGTTCTAATATTTTTTTTATTTTTTTTGTAAATGGTGGTTTTTAAGGACACTCATATATAAAACTTTACATTTGGTATAGTTATGAATTGTATAGTTATTGTGGCAGAAAAGTTATTTTTTCTGCTGAAAGTGTCCATACATCACCTGAGGTAGCCTCCGCTGCTATTTGTCCCAGAATTCAATGTAAATAACAGTGTACTGCAAAATTAACTCAGTATAAAAGTTTATAACGTACTGTTCACATGAATCTCTATGAAATTTTTGAGACTGGGGTTGGATGGCAGCAATTCTCTTTGACTTTGGCCCAGCTCAAATTAGCTATCAGTGCGTTCATCCAATTAGAATTATACTATGTTCTTTCCAAATTGAAGCCATTCAAAGAGCTATCTGCAACGGGTTAGATATTGATTATTCATAAACTTTCTACAGAAGCCTAATTCAGAACATCTATTGTTTAAATAAAAACATCACAACAAGTTTTCAAAGTCAAATGCAGAGGGTTTTATTACCTGAAAGTATGAGGCATACAAAATTTCAAGTAACAAAAACGGTGTTTGTTTTCTTTATCACAAGTCAAAGAGTTTCAAGCAGCCAATCTACAATTACTGTCACAGCCCGTGAGTCATACTTTCTGTTAGCACTGGGTAAACCTGCAGCCCTGAGGTGTGTTTGTTCACCGTATGCTTAAAACTCAATGACAAACCAGAGCTGAAAAGAAATAATTGATGAAATAAAAACCGAAATCTTCTTTTGCCACTTGTGGTGTTGTGTGTTTCCTCTTTATAACCTTGGTTTGGTTTTTATCTACGAACAACAATCGACTTTGTTTCTTTCTGACACTGTTGCCACATTAAACACCTACTTTAAAACTGGGCCCCACCACAGAATTAGGAGTTACATGAGTGAAAAACATGTTGAAGATCAAACAAAGGGTTGTTTCATACAGTGATCATCCACCAACGACAACATCAGCAAGGGACAATACTCATTTTCTGGACTAGGTCCATGACAATGTAGATTATGAGTGAGGAAATGATTGTTACAGAGAATGTGTGTATCTGCACGTGTGTGGAAAGGGATGTGACGGAAGCATCCAAGGTAAGTGGAGGTATACGTCAAGGTGAACGGCACAACTCACAATATTTCAGCACACTTTTTCAGAAGGTATTCACAGTGAACGACTTTAAAGAGTAATGTGTTATGATTCCAAAACGTCGGTGACGGCTTATCTATATCTGCACGAGTGTCGTCAGACTGCTGGGTGGGGCTCAGAGAAAGCTACTTGGCATTAGCGGTGCTGATGAGCATCTTCCGAATTGCTTGAGTGATGGCGTCACGGTCGATGCCGTGGATCTTCAGGAGCTCGTGAGGTTTGCCTCCACGGGGAATGTGGGAAACAGCCAGACGGTGCAGACTGAATCCAGACTCGTTGACCACTGCTGAGGACAGTGCTTCCCCGAGACCACCTGTGGATATTTGTGAATGATAGCGCATCAGTTTAAACAATTAAAAACCCTCAACTGGTCCAAACAGCAGCTGATTCTTCTTTGTCCAGTCTCATTTTTGCCATCCCTATTTGCTTACTCTTGTGCGGCACAGGGTACGTGTGATTGCTATCTAGGTCACAGTCAGCCCCATGGGCACATGTTCATTTAAGAGAATCTGACAGCGCTTGGCCTCTCTGACTCCCACATTTACAAAACGCACCACAGCACCTTGTTTCCAATGAAGGCACGCAACAAAGCAGCTTGGACTCAACCAATGAGTGAACGCCAACACAGCACAACTGTGACACCGAGCCAATGGAAACCACAACACCCCCAATGGCATGAACCAATGGCGGGGTCTTAAGCAGCAAAATGCCAAAGCATCTGAAGACTGGAAGGTTAGTGATGGTCATTATGCAAAAACTGAACAGCAAGAGCAACATTTTTGAGGGAAACCTACCTTCATAGTAGTGGTCTTCAACAGTGAGGATTCTTCCCCTGGTGGCACGTGCATGGTCAACGATGGTTTTTACGTCCAAAGGTTTGATGGTGAAGGGGTCGACTACTCTGACAGAGATTCTCTCTGGAAGGCAAGTTTAGAGGAACAAAACAACGCAGTCAAGCCTTACCACCGTAAACCATAGCAAAAAATGAAGATGAATATGAAACGGAAACCTTTTCAACTTGATCTTAAAGCATTTGGTTCTTTAATAATGTTCTCAAATAATATTTTTTAATAAAGCAAATCTAAATTTAGTTAAAAGTTCAAATGATTGTGGCTGTGACAAATGATATTACTCCAATTTTGTCTGCTGTGTGTGATGTGTAATCTTGTATCATTCAGTGGAAAGTTTATGCTTTACAGCCTGTACCTTTCTTTAGGTGCTCAGCGGCAGCAAGGGCCTCGTGCACCATCACTCCAGCTGCAACCACAGTCACCTGGTCATCCTTGCTCTGAAACACCACCTGACCAAAGAAAGCAGTGCTATCCTCACCTCATGTATTTATTTGGGAGCAGCCATTTAATCATAAATTAAAAACAAATGACCGCCTCACCTTTGCCTGTCCAACATGGAAGTCCTCATTGCTGTTATAGATGACGGCGCAGTCTTGGCGGCTGGTTCGAATGTAGCAAACACCCTTTGAAAACAGAGAAATTAACAGGAACATTAACACAACATTTTACATTAGGGTTTCAGTGCAGAAATTAGAGTTGCATTTTGAATACCTTTGTGGTTGCAGCCAGCTCCACAGCCTTTTCTGTGGACACGCCGTCACTGGGATAGAAAATGGTAGCTCTGGGAATGGCTCTAAACATGGCCATGTCCTCTAAGCTCATCAGAGAGGGGCCTTCTTCTCCTGTAAGGTGAACATTTTTTTGTTTATTTTATTTAATTAAGGATATATTTAGATGTAATTGTGTGGTTGGGTGAGCGGAAGCATGCAGGAGCATAAAGGCCACACTGGATGCAGGCTACCTGGACTATCAAAGGGATATTTGTTCCCTGATGACAGCTTCCAGGGCGGACACAAAGGGAGAAGAAGGGGAGGATTGAGTCAAGGCTGAAAGGCCCATTGGGTGCAAATAAGGGAAACAGCATTAAAAGGAGTAAAATCAATACAAAATCTATTTATATTTATTTCAAATTGATTTGGGTTACTGTGAATACAAGGAAGGAAAGGTGATAGGAGACAGTGTGAAGGGTCAAAGGTGAGTTTTTTGCAGGGTGTTGTTTGATGGGACAGGTGAAAAGGCTTGTGATGACTGTCACTCGTTGTCAAAAGGTTACTAACCAGTGGACAGACCACAGTGGGAGCCACACAGGTTGATGTTGCTCTCTGAAATCGCTGCCATGCGAATCTGATCATAGGCACGAGTAAAAAAGGAAGCAAGAGTACTGGCAAACACGACATTCCTGTCCCGGGCAGAACATCCCATGGCAACACTGACCTGGGAAAAAGATGATTGTTTCTTAGTGCCTTTATCACAGAAGTTTTAATATTCCTGTGCAAATGGAGATGGATAGAAATCACACAAACTTGACCACAACAAGGTTTGCCAGAGGGTCAAATATCTGTAGCAAACCCCAAATCTCTTCGAACCGAAGCTCAAAGCGAGTGAGAGTTTGCCACAAATCTCTGCAGCTTTTTTACCAAATGCACAGATTTAGTGGCATACCTCTGCTCACAGATCATTTCCTTTCCATGCGACTTTCCACAGTCTCATAACTTATATACATGGTCAAAAGCAACATTGGGCATAAAAATTTTTGAGTTGTTCGAAAAAAAATACAACTGTACAAATAATATGGAATTAGATGCTTTTAATGGACCAGTGTTTTGATTGAGACTTTTTTGTTTTAATTATCCATCACAATAATAGTGTCCGTTAACGTTGGACTTGTCCTCATGCATTTAGCCAGATGGTTTCGTCCTCTGCACTGATTAATATTTTACTTCCGAATACACTTGTCATGACTGCTTATCATCATATGCATGCATGACCTACATTAGAGTTAGCTGCTGCTGGGAAGCCACTACAGGAAAACATATCAGTTGGATTGAAAAAAGAAAAGATAAAATAAGGGAAATGACCAAAACATGTAGTTATCTAAGCATCTATCAAAAAAAGGCTTTTTGCTTGTTTTAATACAAATAAGTTCTGATTGCAACAGGATGTGCACATCAGAACAAGCAAGGAAAAATAAACCCAAATGTGTTTTAAAGTGAAATATAAGAATTAAGTGTTACTTTGTCTCATAAAATGAAAATTCTAGTTTTGTAAAAAGGACTTTAACGCGATGCCTCATCCTGGATCGTACCATGTTCTGCTGAGAGATGTAGCACTCAACAAAGCGGTTAGGATGCTCATTCTTAAAGATCTCAGAGCAGGTGAGGTTATTGGTGTCTCCATCCAGAACCACAACTCGCTCGTTGTAGCGACCCAACTTGGCCAAGGCCATTCCATAGGCCTTACGAGTGGCAATCTGTAAAGAAAGCAGTCGGTCATCAGTTTGTCTGTAAACATTTATAAACACTCATACTGTATTGGAGTTAAAATCCAGTCAAGGATTTGATGATGAAATTTAAAAAGTCGACTTTATTTAAAATAAAAACACTTTTATTTGCTCTCTAAAATAAACATAAAAATATCCAGTGTTTTAAAGTTCTGCTAAGACAGTCTATCTCTTAATATAACTCCTAATGTTGTTTAATGTAAGTCAGTACTTACTTTTTATTTCTCACAATCCAATTCTTGGATTCTTGAAAACTCTTGGAAAAGAGCAACATTTTTCAGTCAGGTCATCTGGACAGTTTCTTTTTTTGTGCTGAAACGTTTCGACTTCGATCCGGAAGGCTTCATCAGTAAATGAAATACACAACACAAAACTGATTCTTGAGCATGGACTTTATTGTTTTCTACCAGTTTGATACGACTGTCAACAAGGAAGAGGGCCGGCAATGGAGGAGGGGGCATGACAAATAGACCATCTTAGCTCAAACATAACTGGTTTGTTCTACTTTGGAGTAAGCTGCTGGGGGAAGAATCAGTTTTGTCTTGTGTATTTCCTTGACTGATGAAGCCTTCCGGATCGAAGGCGAAACGTTTCAGCACAAAAAAAGAAACTGTCCAGATGATCTGACTGAAAAATGTTGGATTGTATACCTGGATTATTGAGCATGGACTTTATTGTCTTGGAAAAGAGGTTTTTAATCTCAATGAGTTATATTTCTTGGTTAAATAAAGGATACATACAATTCATTAATTGGCAACCATAAGATTTTGACTTAAGGCTTTTGGTCCCACCTTTGTTCATTTGTTCCAGTGGTTTGCAGAGACACAAAACATTTTTCAGACAATTTAAAAATGTTTTGCAAACCTTTTCTCCAGCCTTGTAGCTGGGCGCACTCGGCATCCTGATGTTTCTCAGGCTGACGGGTGGGGAGTCCTCGACAGGGGTGGGTGGGTACAGGTGCTTACTGCTGCTCATGATCCGACTCTGCAGATCCTTTATGACCATCTCAGCCATGTCTTTGGGCAAAACTTTGGCGTGCCAGCCCAGCTTATCCTCAGCAGCTGAAACAGCATGAGACGTTACATTAAAACGTACAGAAACTGTTTTCTTTATCTGTTAGCGCTCATGCTGTGCTACGGATGCACTGAGATTCTGTGTGCAGAGGAGGAAGGACAAACAACGACCTGGAATGCCTTTGCCCTTGGTGGTTTTAGTGATGATTGCAGTGGGCTGGTGGCGTGGCTGGCTCAAAGCCTTGCAAAGCTCTTCCACACTGTGTCCATCCACAATGATGGCATGCCACCTAAACACACAGAGATACACTGTTGCACATCATACATGCAGAGATTAAGTTGGTATTTTTTAGATAAATCCCTCCTTCACTGTTTAACAATGACAGCCTCAACCTCTGTTTTATTACCCGAAAGCTTCACAGCGCCGCTGGTACTTCTCCACATGATGCTGCAGGGGTGCAGGGTCACTTTGGCCTAAACGGTTGATGTCCATGATGGCCACCAAGTTGTCGAGCTGATAGTAGGAGGCAAACGACATGGCTTCCCAGACTGAGCCCTCTGACATCTCACCATCACCCAGCAGGCAGAACACACGATAACTGAGGTGCAGAACAAGACAAAAGGGTTTCATTAGTGTATCTTTCCACAAATACATTTTCTTGTGTGGGGTGTATTTGATGCTTGTAAATCTCTGAGATTATTATTTTTTTCAGTCTGGCTGATTCTCTTGGTGTTTCCAAGATGACTAAAACTGGAGGAACGGCCTTCTGTTTTACAGGAAAAATTACATTTTATTAGTCTTTTTGAGAATAATGACCAAATCTAAATCCCCTCAAATAAAAGTAAATGTTGTGCCAGTATTGCAATAAATAAAAAATAAAAAAAAAACAAATCATGAGAAAAATACAGAAAATCCTACAATAGCTATGAGCTTAATATCTGATTCAGAGATGAAATCTGCTCGGACGCTAAAACATAACTGAGATATGACTTCAGCTGCTGCTGTGGTTATTAGAGCAGAAGAATTGTGAGTGCAGAGCGTGTCGCTGCAGCACACACCCACCGAGTGTGGAAAAGCTTCATCCAAAAAAATGAGAGAGGAGCATTCTGCAAAGCTGAACCTTGAATACTATCCAAAATGTGTAGTAACAGAACATCATGTCTGTATTTATCATTTACCATTACAAACTGAATAAAAAATGTTTACGCTGCAAAATTTATCCGTGCGTCTTTTACTTATTTTGCACAAATTTAAAAAGGATTACCTGGATTTGTCAAAGTATTTGCCAGTGTAAGCCATTCCACAGGCCACACCAAGACCCTGCCCCAATGATCCGGTGGCTACATCGACAAACTGTTGCTTCTGAAATGCACACACAGTGCAGGCATTGTTAGGAAGCAGTGGTTGGTGATGTTATGGTGTTTGGGTGAATCCCTGAGGGAAGGTGTAACTCACCGGGGTCGGGTGGCTCTCCAGAGTCGAGTCCACCTGGCACAGACTGAGCAGATCGCTCTCTTTCAGGAAACCTGTTTCAACCCACATGGAGTACAGAGCAGGAGCAGCATGACCCTGTGAAGAGAAGGAAAAAAGACATGGATGTTTTAAAACTCCAACATACAAATACAGAGCGATGTCCAGCTCACTGCAGCTCACCTTGGACAGGACGAAGCGGTCGCTGTTGAAGTTTCTTGGGTCTTCAGGGCGGTACTTCATGGTGTGGAAGAAAAGGACAGACATGATTTCTGCCACGCTGCAGCATGAGGTGGGATAACTGTGCAACAGAGAGGATGCTGTTACCCAGAAATACAAATAAAAAACTCTCTCACGCTGCTTTAACTTTGTCATCAGGAGCATATCGTATGGTTCATGTTTATATTACTTATTGGACTGTTAGCCTCACCACAGATACAGCAACATTTTGTAAATTCATCTTCACTCAAGCGTAAATATAAAGAACAACAAAGCCTCAAGCATTGGAGAGAAATTGTCTGATTAGAGACAGGTGGTTTTTAATACAAGCACTGTGTATAAAAAGTAATTAATGCTTTAATGAGAAATTATTATAAAGTCACAACATACAGTACCTGTTCCTGCAGCTGGAAATCTGAAGGATGAAGTATTTCTCTGTGAATTAGCTGCTCGTTGTACTTTTTCCAAGAAGGAAATACAATTTATATGTAGAAGATTTATAAGCTACACTGCTCTGAACATTTCTTGATTTTGATGTATTTTTCTACCTACTGGTTTCACAAGACAGTTTTAAAATGGATGGTTAGATTCCATCCATCCATCCATCCACCCATCCATCCATCCATCCATCCATCCATCCATCCATCCATCCATCCA